TATTTCTATATTTAATTTCAATAATAAAAAATTAAATTGGAAAAATCACAAGATTTTCCAGATACGAATTATTTATTAAAATTATAAATCTTATAAATTCAGGATATATATTAATAATATATATTGAACAACTATTTTTTTAATATTATATAAACAATTATATCCAAGAATTTATTTAATATCAAAAAAAAAATAAAAATTCTAGAATTATAGGTATCAATATATTGGAAAATTAAGGATATTAAAATTTTAATAATTAGAAAAATAAAACCCTGACGTTAATTTAATTATTTTTCCAAAATACAATTCTCCGGGATCCATCAAATAAAAAAATACACATAGATTAAATCTATATATAAATAATCTTAAATTTATTTAATATCGATATTATAAATAATATTTTATTTAATTATCCATCTTATATTAAATAATTATCAAAGGAAATTGGGAAACAATACTTCCGAATTACGAATGACTTTTACTATGGTGAAGGGTGGTGCGCGATCTATACTTGATGGAACTAACTATGATGAAGGGTGATGCGTGATTTCACAATAGATAACAAAAGAAAAAAACACAATGGAATTGATTATGATGAAGGGTGGTATGTGATGTAATAATTTATAATAAAAAACTAAGAAACGATGGAATTGATTATAATGAAGGCTGGTGGGTGATCTCTATATAACAAAAAAATAAGAAATAATGGAATTGACTATAATGAAGGGTGGTGTGTGATCTAACAATATATAATAAAAGAATAAGAAATAATAGAATTGACTATAATGAAGGGTGGTGTGTGATCTAACAATATATAATAAAAGAATAGGAAATGATGGAATTGTCTACAAATAAAGGCTGGTGGGTGCTCTAACAATACATCACAAAAAACTAAGAAGCAATGGAATTGACTATGATGAAGGGTGGTATGTGATCTAACAATAATAAGCGATCTAACAATATATCACAAAAGCATAAGAAGCAATGGAATTGACTGTGATGAGAAGTAGTGACGATGGGAAGTGGTAAGGAAGGGAAGTGGTGAGGAAGGGAAGTGGTGACGATGGGAAGTGGTGAGGAAGGGAAGTGGTTGCGCTGGGAGCTGCATGAATATTGCATGGGGTTTGTTTTGGGGAGGAAGCCGGAGCACGAAACCTTGTGTTTTTCCGTGTAAAGTGGCTGCAGCCGGCGATGAAAGGTACCTCGTGTGTGCGGCGGTTGTGGCTGCGGTCGTTTGGTTCCTTCTATGTGTTTTGTAACAATGGTTGTTCCTGTGTGCGCATTGCTAAATGTTTCTTGGAGTTGTGGTTGCAGATCGCATTGGAATGGCTGCATGAATGTTACATGTTGTGTGTTGTGGGGAGGAAGCCGGAGCACGAAACCTTGTGTTTTTCCGTGTAAAGTGGCTG